CTTCAGAAGCCAACATTCTTCAATTTTCCTCTGAAAAGCTTTGGTTTCTAAACCCACTGTCTCTTCCTGCACACTGCAGTAGGCTGCTGGCTGGTGGGGTTTGCTTCTTGCTGTCTGAATGAGAGAAATGTGCAGGAACTTTGTGAGGCAGCTATGAAACCAAACAGATTTGTTTTAGTTTAAATATGAGGTTTATTTTCATTTATGTTTGTTTAAATATGAGGTTAAAGATGTAGATTTGAACATGTAGTGTTCAGCAGTGTTCTTGTTTTTACACTGGTGTATTTGTGGCAGCCACAGACTTGTTTGGCACGCAGCTTTCTCTTTGCTATTTCCTTTTCAATTGTCTGTAGATGTCAGGAGAATGGCAGTGAGGTCCAAAGAGCTTTTCCCATGGACACAGCAGACTTTGAATTCAGTGCTGACCCCAGGAGAGGTGGTTCCTGGCCTTCCCAAGCTCCTGTAGCTGCAGCAAAATGTGACTACTCTTGTATTCAGCCTGAGAATTCCACACATGGAAAGTCAGAGTAAACCCATATGCCTCTGTTTTCTTTAGTTAGGTAGTTGTCCTTGGAGAAAATGTGTTCATGTAGAAGAGTGGAAATTCTTGCCTTTTTTAGTGGAAATAACCATCAAAGACACAGCTATTCAGTAATCTCTGTAATCTCTGTCAGGCTCCTGGGCTTTCACCAAAGAAAACAAGGTATTAAACACAAAAAATATATTGTTTTTCATTTAAGTCAAAGTATCTGTGAATATAAATTTGGGCTTTTTAGCCAACTTTTTCTCTAGTAAATATTTAATAAATCTGTATTTGTAGTCATTTGGGTTTTGTTTTATTAATTTAAAATCTGTGAAGAGCATCTGTTACTCTGTGCCCACAGTATCATCTCAGCCCCATTTGGTGAACATTTCTGCTGGCTTAAGGACATCTTTAAAGCTGACAGGCAGCAGTTAGAACAACATTTGTAATTGGATTTGTAATCCAGAGGATCCCTCTCTCTGTAGCTTCCTGCTCCTCTGTCAAACAAGTTAAAGGAGGAAAAATATCCCATTCACCTTCTCTGCTGTGGTGTAAAGGGATGTCCTGCTCAAGCTGCTGCCTGGCAGAAGGGTGCCCAGAGCAGGGACCTGGTTCTTGGCTTACTGGCTGGTAGTGGCTGGTTGTGTCTTCTTGCTGGGGCAAATCAGCTGTGCCAGGCACTGCTCAGGCTTCAAACAACAGGGCCAAGTTTGCTCTGAGGAGCCCTGTGATATGCAGCACTTTAACCTTGCAAGTTTTAGGAGCAGCATTGCCTGTTTTGGGAAATTTGCTGCCACCTTAGTTAGAAAGGGTTATTTGACACAACTGGAAAATGCCTCTGAGGCTGGAGACTTGAGCTCACTACATCAGCCTGATGTTTGTTGATGAAGAGTGTGTCAGGGAGAAGCTCAGGAAATGCTCTGCACTGGGGCCCAGAGAGCTGCACTGACAATGGGCTGTGGACAGCAGGCAGCTTCAGAGCCTCTGGCCTGATTGGACACTCACCCTCCTGCACTGCTGTGGGGTTTGGTATTCTCTGACCACCTCAGTTCCTAAATTATGGACAGGTAAATCTGCATTGTTAGTGCTGTGGATTGCTTGAGTCAGGTGGAGCTGGATGCTTTCTCTGCACTTGTTCAAAGGGCAGAACTCAAGTCAGGCAGGCATCTGTGTTCATGCATGTCCAGGAGCCCTAGGACTGCTCAGGGGTGATCAAGGCACCCCTGCTGAAACAGGCCCAGGCTGTGAGCTGTGTGTGCAAGCAGGTTTTAGTGCATTTCGGATGGTGGTAGCAGTGATTTGCAGGTTTCCCCATGAAGGAACCTCCTCTGAAGTGTCTGAGACCTTTCACACTTCTCACTGTGGGTCAGTCCCTGTTGCCCAAGGTGGGTACAGAATTGGCTCCCTTTCAGACTCAATTGTGCAGTGGATTGGTGATAAATCATATATTAAAGACAAGTTTCAAAGGAGAGGTGTGAAGTGAAGGAAGGCATTAGAGATGAGGGTAGTGCTGAATCCAGCTCACAGCTGAATCAAAGCATGTGGCCAGCTCATCTGAGGGCATCTTTCTTCCTACTGCTCTTAATGATGGGATTTTCCCAGACTGGAAGAAAGTGCAAATAAAGACTTAGTGTTCTCTTTCTTCTGTGTGTTCTCAGTTTGAAATCTCACATTCTCATGTGAGAGGTAAGAGACACTTTTCCATTTATCCACTTTTCCAGCAGCTGCCCCCTCATTCCCTGTCATTAAGGCTGAGCTATCTCATGCTCATGCAGAGTTTTAGGCTGCCATCAGTGCTCTTGATTTGTTTATCCATCATATCCCAGAACTAGATTATTCTTCCCAAATGTACCTTATGTGTGTCACATAAATGTCAGCTTATGTGTGAACATATCCCAAAACCTCATCTCATTTCCCTTGGCTAAAGCAATAACACCAACTTAAATGATGACTACTTCATGAATGAACTTTCATTCATTTTGGAGTTTCATTTCAAAGGTTAGGTGTTACAGAGGGCACTAAAGCATAAAATTATACATGCAAATATAACTCCAGTGTAATGCCATGGACCTAATTTAGATTTCTTCTTTGTGTAGAGAGTGCTTAGTCTAACTTCCACCATCTCCCAGATGTCTGTGGTTTGATGGAGCCAAGGCGTTAGGATGAGGTCTTTAATGATGGGTTTCTGAGGTGAAGGTTATTGCAGTGGCAGGGAATTGGCACAAGGAAGATAGCAGGTAGCATATCAGAAAGGAGGCAGCTGCCTTGCCAAAGGTGAACTCATGAGCATTGGCATGGAGAGGGAAGGAAGAGCAAATCCTGGAACTAGTACTAAGCTAAGAAAACACATGCTACAGTCACAGAAGGCATTTATCATCCTTAATTTTCAGAAGAAATTCCATCACTTGATTACTGCCAAATGGTAATTTTCTGGTAATGACAAATAGCAGATGAATTCCCCAGAATCCTGAAAAACACTTAGCTGGAGTAGTAAAAATGCCCTGGTTAATCTCTTAAGCATGTAATTCTTCCTCTTAAGAAATTTAGAGTCCCACAGGATTAGCTTTTTGAACCTGTGATGTTCACAGCAACTCCAAAAAATCAATTCAGACACAACAATGGCCTTAGTGTTGTTATTTCTTGGGTGGAGGAGCTCAAGGAGGGCATGGCCAGTCACAGACACATAGACCACTGAGGAGTGAACAGCCAGGTGCCCAGAGGGGAGCACAGAATTCACTCTGTTGCTCTCTAGCTGCTCAGGTGTGCAGGGCTTTTTTGTTTCTTTAAAAGAGAAAAAAACAACTTAAAGAGAAATAAAGAGATAATCAAAAGCATAGAATGAGTTTGGCATGAGGAGAGAGACTGAATAGAATAGCATCCTTCAGCTCCAAAAGAGAAGTCAGACAGGAGAGATGATAACAGGTCTCTAAAATCATTTAGAAGGTGGAAAAGGTGACCAGATAGTGATTATTCACTGTTTCTCACAGTACATGTACAGAGGGGAGTCAAAGGAAATTATCAGGCAGCAAATTTAAATGAGCAAGAAGCACTTGGTTCAGATGAAAAACAGAGAGATTGTGGAACTGAATGCCAGTGAGTATTGTGGAGTTAGAAATGAGATGAAGGATTCATAAGATTTATCATGAAGATAAATCTCTCAAAGGTTATTTTAAAAATGAGATCTGGATGCAAATTCTTGCTTTGGAATTTTCTAAGGTATAATGCTTACAACTGCCCCATTTTGTACCCATTTTGTACCATGGCCCTAAACTTCTGGTACTTGCCAAGGATACGAGACAGGACTAGATGAACCCATGATACTTTAACTAGATCTGGCCCACCACGTGTTTTCTGTGCACACAGGTTGTGGCATTCCAAAATATGTTGTTGCCTCTGGAAGGTTTTGGGTCTGTCCTGATGTGGGACTGAGCTTCACAGATCAAGGGATGAAGTTTGGATCTCAGTACATGTGAAAAATATTTAAGTGATGTCTTGCAAATACCACTTTCTGTTTGCACTGAGATTGTGTACGACTCTCCTGAGATCCAGAACTTTGCTTCCATGTGTCTGTGATGCCATGCAAAAGTGGCTATTTTTCTGTCAGGGTTATTTTAATTACTGTAAAAATCTTGCTCTTGAATCTTCATAGCTGTAGTGCTTTCATATTTTGAAAATTTTTCTCTTTAAAATTTGCTCCTTTCTACCCTGTGACAGTGATTTCAAGCTACCACCCTCAAACTGGTGGGTATGGAGTGGTCAGCTGGAACACAGCAGAGTGGTGACTGCCTTTCCTACACCCACAAATTCCAATTAATGCTAGAAAAGTAGGAGTTAGGCTGCATTCACTGAGTCAGCTGTGGAGCACAGCAAAGCTGCTGCTGTTCCTGGAGGAGGGTGTCCTACCCTGGAGCTGTGTTCCCAAGAGTGTTGTTAGATGTTTTCCCTTTCACCTGGAAGCAGTAACTGTGACCGTGTTCACAGGGGCCGAATGATGAGGGAAGAGATGAGGATCTGACTCCATGTTTCAGAAGGCTTGATTTATTATTTCATTATATATATTATATTAAAACTATACTAAAAGAATAGAAGAAAGGATTTCATCAGAAGGCTAGCTAAGAATAGAAAAAGAAAGAATTATAACAAAGGCTTTGGTCTCGGACAGAGAATCCGAGCCAGCTGACTGTAATTGGCCATTAATTAGAAACAACCACATGAGACCAATCACAGATGCACCTGTTGTATTCCACAGCAGCAGATAATCATTGTTTACATTTTGTTCCTGAGGCCTCCCAGCTTCTCAGGAGGAAAAATCCTAAGGAAAGGATTTTTCATAAAAGATATCTGTGACACAGTAACTTCTCTTCCGAGCAGCTTTAGGCAGTGGGCTGAATGTGTGCAGGACCTGCATTGTCTCTGCTGCCTCTTTGGAGCCTTGTCTCCAAGGGTAACAGTCTCCTTTTTGGTTTCATTTTCCTAGGGATATCCATGCCTATTCCAGTCATTGGTTTGCAGGATGACTCCCGGGTGTTTGTAAACGGGACCTGCGTCCTGAATGATGAGAACTTCGTCCTCATTGGATCCTTCATGGCTTTCTTCATCCCCCTCATCATCATGGTGATCACGTATTGCCTGACTGTCCAGGTGCTGCAGAGACAGGCCACGGTGTTCATGTGTGGAGAGGTGCCCAAGCAGAGGAGGAGCAGTGTGAACTGCCTCAAGAAGGAAAACAACACAGAGAACATTTCAATGCTTCACAATCACGAGGGGGCCTCCCACTTGAACTCCCCTGTCAATAAGGAGGCGGTGCTGTTTCGGAAAGGAACGATGCAGTCTATCAACAATGAGCGAAGAGCCTCCAAGGTCCTGGGCATCGTCTTCTTTCTGTTCCTCATCATGTGGTGCCCGTTTTTCATCACTAATGTCATGTCTGTGCTTTGCAAGGAAGCCTGTGACAAAGACCTGTTGAGTGAGCTGCTGGACGTGTTTGTTTGGGTGGGGTACGTGTGCTCCGGGGTCAATCCCCTGGTGTACACCCTCTTCAACAAAACCTACCGCAGGGCTTTCTCCAACTACATCCGCTGCCAGTACAGGCCTGGCAAAAAATCAGCCCTGAGGCAGAACCAGTGTCTGAACGTGACCTCAACAGCTTTGTATGGGAAGGACCTGACTTTAACCAGTTATAGAAACGGCAATGAGTTCAATAGCATGGAACTGGATGAAGCTGAGGAGGGCCTTGAGATGCAACCGGGGACTTCAGAGCTCTCCATAAACAGCTGTAATGTTGTAAGTGAAAGAGTGAGCTGTGTGTAAAAGTGACTGTCACAGACCTTTGCTACGAGATAACTGTAGCCAAAATATATTGTGTAAAAATGTAAGCGTCGGTCAAAGGACTATGTAAATATTGCATTCTGAACAAAGCTTTTGGTTTTTTTTAAAGAGAAAAAAGAATTGTCTTTCCAGTCCAGTACTTAAAATAATATATATTAATATACTGCAGTGAAGTTTAAGGTTCTATATTTACTGTTAATACTAGATCAGAACTATTAGTTACTTTGCATATGTCATGGACAAAATGTTTGAATTCTTCTTCCAGTGCATGAACAAAAATGCTGAATATTTATCTCAGGTGGAATTTGCTGGAGTCCAGAATGGCACGTTAATAGTTATATATCAAATACATGCTATTAGACTTGGTCAGTAGAACTTTCTTTTTCAAGTTGACAGTAAATATATACTTTAAATCCTCACCCCTATTTGTGCCGTGTAAAGACTTTACAGAAACCTGGCAGAGAGACATCACAACAGCGTAGTGGCCGTGCAGGCACCTGGCCAGACATGTCCTGTTAAGTGTAGTGGCTTCTGCCATGCTGGGTCAACCTTGCACTTCAAGGGACCTTTGTTAGATTCTGGCTCCCTCTCCAATCCTGCTGTTTTCTTTCTGTCCCTCAGGAGGCTCTGGCTCCCCTAAGAGAGGCAGGGAATGTGGTTTTGCAGTCCTGGCTGGGATCATTTGGGCTGGAGAAGTGTGAGAAGCAGAGTGATCCCCAGTTACCTAGTTCAAGCATCCAGTAAATGGAAGGCCTAGGATTCATTAAAAGCCCTCCTCTGGTCTTGCAGGTAACCATCAGCTGTGGGGTGGAGCAGGCTGTGTGGCCAGCTCTGCCTTCACAGATTGCTGGAGGACCAGGGGCTTTGGCCTGTCTGAAGAAAAGCACTCTGGCTTTGGAAGAGCCCAAATCTCTGCTCTTCTCACTCCTCACATCTAGATATTCTTTAGCTGGTTTGCCATTTGCTTTTATTTTCCATCCCAGTGCTGGTGACGGGACAGTGCTTTGGGCACAGAGCAGAAGGTTCTCTGTGTGTGGTGCTGGCCAGGCTCAGGCTGTGAGCAGCAGGATGTGCCTGCCTGGGGAGTGCTGGAGACAGGAGTGAGAGAGGGTCCCTGCTCCTGTCTCAGGAGGGGCTGGGCAGAGCTGAACACAGCATGTGACTGGAATAATTTGCTGGTGATACTGTTCTAAAGCAAATGGTGACCAGGGACAGCAGGGAAGCAGACCTGGAGCTGGTCTGCATGGAGTATGAATCTGGAGTAACTTTAAAATTTGATTTATTCCATTTTACTCCCAAATTATATTAGAATATATCATATTAACACCACTTACATCTTTAATGAAAGCATCCACATTGGGATTGAATGTATTTTAAGTAATCTGCTTTTAATACACACCATGTATAATTTGAATTAATTTTCCTCTGCATTCCTGTGTACACAAACCCTCCAAGGCACTGTGTCTTTCTGGCACTGTGCCTCTGGGGTGATGCCTCTCATGCAGATTTCCTTATGTGGAGTATTGTCTAATGGCAGATATCATCCATAAGGTTTTTATATCTTCATTAACTACTACACAGATGCTGCAGTGCCCATCTAACATGGATGCATTTAGCATCACTGACAGCCTCTGGCTAAGATAATTGTCAGAACACAGAAGCTTACACTAGGCATGGATAAATCACATTTATTTACATGAATTGCTTGTACTCTCAGCTTCCTGTATTCATTCCATTAAAACTAACTTGTAGAAGAACTGGAAAATTCGGCCAGTGCTTGAGGTGCTGTTGCATGGCTGTGTGCAGCTACAACCTTGTCGAGGCCACTACTGAAACACAACATTTGGGCTGTATCTGCTGCTGGGTTGATCCCAGAATGATGCACTGAAGTTGATCATCCTCTCTCCCTCATCCCCTCCTGGGATAAATCCATAGTACTTCCCTGCAGGCAGATGAGGTATCCCAGTGCAGAGTGCAGAGCTGCTCCATATGCCAGCCTGCAGATAACACTGTGGGCTTGAATACTTGGGAATCCACTTGCCTCTCCAAAAAGGTCAAATAATCAGCAGGAAAAACACTGGCCAGAGACACAGTTGCGCCTTCAGCAACTGCCCTTTACCCTGAGTCAGATTTTATTATCTCAAAAAGTACAGAAAAATCAGAAAAATCACAGTGCATTTTAATTTTTTCCCCTTTCAGTGAATTTATAGCACATCTCTTCCAAACATGTATGTGTGTGTATATATATATATATATACACACACACACTTGTGAGTTTGTTCTTATATATATACACACATATATATATCTATCTTTCAGAACCAACCACAGACTTTGAAAGCATTTAGCAATAAGTTGAATTACAGTAGCTTCTAGCACATGTGTAAGTTGTGTGAATAGCTCATTTTCCAGCTGGAGCTCAGTGTAAGTGTTCACACAGGCATTGTCTTTGCATGGGAGCCTTCATGTCTCACCCTTGCCAGTTCTGTTGTATGGGCAAAAAGGGAACCTGCTATATTTGGATGTAAATAATGAGAATTGAACAGAGAATTTTCAGAATTTTTATAAGTGTTTTTAAAAAAAATTCAGCGCCAGAACTGTAAATATGCCAACCTCAGCTGGACCTGTTCTGATGTCCATCTCATGTCTGGATGAAGAGCCAAGGGGACTGACTGCCTTACAGCGCCTGCGTTCCTCCCAGCCAGCAGGGGAGAACATTTCTCTGAATGGTTAAAAACTGTCACTACCCAACTTTCTTTGGGTCATTCACATCAGGGTTTTGTGATGCTGCTATTAATTTATTAAAGAAAGTTTGTTGGTTTAATCATTCTTCATTATTTATTTTTTTCATGATCTATCAGAAAATAAATGAGTGAACATGCCCTCTCTTTCTTTCATCTGTCCCCAGTTAAAATATGTCCTGACCAAAAACCAAACCAACCGCAAAAAAGGAAGATAAGGGTCTATACTTGACGTATGGCCCACAGCTGCTTAATCACAGGAATTAGTGTCAGCAGATGTCCCAACACTCCCAACCCCAAAATTTGTTAAATGTGAAAGCAGTGATAGACTATTCTCCCTCTTCAAATTGTTCCCTTTCAGGAACAACTGTTAAAATTTACAATTTTTTAAACTATATGAATTTGAAGAACTGATCAAATTTTCTGAAACTTAACCAAAGTCAGGTTGTTCCCACAGCTCCTTTGCTTCTCCTGAGATGTAACTATTAACTGTGATGGTGCCTCCAGAAGCCCCGCCTGGGGCTGCCTTGTGGGAACACCTGCTGGAAGCTTTGTGTGAGTCCTCCAATCCCAGCTCAGGTATGGCTTTTTCTTACAAATAGTGTCTGTGGCAGTGTTTTGCTTTGATTTGGACTGAAGAAGTGAAGATAGTTCCTTGGAAATGGTTGGAGGCTGAGATGTGCTGGCTGCTTTGTTTCCCAAACCAGCTGTGCAGGCAGGCTGCCCATGGGACAGCACACACGCGGGGGCTGTGCCCCAGCAAACCACCCCCTTGCAACTGGGAAATCTGCTCTGGGGACAGCCCAGGTCAGAGCTGGCATTTTCCTGAGCTCTAGGGACTTGCTGTTTTCCCTGCCCAGGGTCAGAAGCAAGGCTGGCTGTGGTGTTCAGGCACAAACCCTGTGGCTGGGCAGCCTGGCTTCCAGACCTGAGCTGCTCATCTGCATCTGTTCCATGCTGCCCCACACAGCCAGGTCTGGGGTCCATGGGATCAGCTGTGGTGGATTTAGGGACCTGTGTGTGCCTCACAGTGCTTTGAGGAGAAGGACAGCTCCTCCCATCCTGTGCTTGCTGAAGATAAGAGCAACTACCCAGAGGCTGTGGCATTTGGGAGGTGACAAGGTTCAGAGCCAGTGCTGAGGAGTCCTAAGGCATCCCACCGCAGCACAGCTCTTTATTGTCTGAAGAACTGTGAGTCCTCAATGGTTTTCATCTGAGTGATAATTCAGAGATGTAAATGTGAGGTGATGTGTGAGTAAGCACTGTGAACAGTGTGGTTCTTGCTGTTTTCTCTGCAGAGACACTCATGTCAATGTTTTGAGCCTTTCTTCAGGACAGCTCTGTGAAGAGTTTCATCACTGGTGTGGAGGGTGCCTGGTGCTCTTCCCAGTCACCATCCAAGGTATTGGAGCCAAGAGGGCCCTGAAGAGACACAAATTCCAAAGAAGAAACATCTTTTAAGGAAGAAAAACAAACTGCAATCAGCCCCTCAGAAACACCATTTCACTTTGAGCTGCTGAAGGGTGTGTGATACTGTGGCAGACAAATTGTGCATTCCAAAAGCAGAGCCCATCATGTGATAAAGGAGCAGATGTCTCTTGGATGGCTTTCCTCCCTGTGTCACAGCATCATTAGGACAGCTACATGCCAGCAACTGCACTTGGCTTTGTCTCCATTTCAGGGGCGGAGAAGGCATCAGAGGCTTTTTCCTAGGAAAAGGCACACAAAAGAGCACCAAGCCTTGAGCAGGTGAAGCAGGACAGAGCTGGACAGATGTGTGCACACATCCCAGAGACCCCAGAGAGCCACAGATGTCACCACACTTTATTCTTCCCTCGAAAAAATGGGAGTATCTGAAAAGCTGGGGAGGAAACCTGTGATGGGGAGATCAAATATTCCTGCTTGTGTGATTGTCACATGGGTGCTGTTCCAGTGATAATGCAGCTTGTGGGGGTGCATGTATCCAAAAAAAATGCTTTTTTTTTTTCATTTTTAACAATGAAGTTGTTATTATCTCTTTTGTCTCTCCCCTTGTTTTTCTCTCCTCTCTGTTTTTATGTAAGTCTCAGGTCTTCTGCTTCTTTGCTTTTGCACACACTGAAACCTGTGCTCTGAAGCTGTCAGAAAACATCCATGGGATGTGCCATTCCCTCTCAGCTGTGCAGGGATGCTGCAACTCCACAACAGCATGGAGATGGAGAGGCTTCAGGTGAGGGATTTTAGATCTGTACACTACAGGCAATCAATGCAACAAGGCACGCTTGTGATTAAAGAACCACACCAGAACGTCTTTAATGAAGTCAAATGCATGAACTACACACTGAAAAAAATTGTTTAAGACTGTCCTAAATGCCAGGTTGTGCTGACAGCAGGAGGGTGTGTGGGTACAGCGCAGGGAGTGTGGCAGCAGCAGGGTTTCTGCTCTGGGCAGATCTCCCACATGGCCCCTCCAGGAGGGTTCTTGTCTCAGGAGCAGCACAGTGTGTCCCAAGCTACCCAGGATTCACTCCATCCTTCCCAACCACACAAAAGGTTGCACGAGCCCATGGGGGCCACAGCTCTCAGGGTCTGTGAGGGGCCTGGCAAGTGGGGAAGTGTCTACTGGTGACAAAGACCAAATAACTCTGGCGGCTCTGGGGTGGTGACAACAAGAGAATTGTACAGACTGCACACAGCAGGCAGTGGGTGACAAATTATTGTGGAAAATTGAGACTCTGGAGCAATCCTTCCTCTGTATTACATCTCATTAATGTTGTCTTATGTTCTGCTTCCCCAAAACCCAAAGATCTCCTAGCAGATGAATGCAATTTCTCCAGCAGCTTTCTGGGACAATGGTAGCTGTTTTGTGACTAGTTGGTACCAACACTTAGGTGACTTGAAAAATGAATCATGCATCACCACACAGGTGCATGTTAAATCCACTGTTCTGAATTTTCCTGTGCTTGAATTGTATAAATTGGATAAATTAATGTTTAATTAAAATATAGCCAGATTATTTAACATATTTTTAATAGAATCTAATTATGAAATTTTGAGTGGTTTAAATTTTGGATACACACAAAAAAAATCTGAAAACTAGTGCCTGTAAGACCACTGCCTGGTTACATTTGTTAAAATTTAAAACAGCTTTACATCTGTATGTGCTGCCAATGTTGGTGTCTCCTCCTGCAGAAGGACAAGTGGGGAGCCAGTGACGGACGTTCATCAAAGACACTGAAGATTTTAATCAGGGTCCTTTTCCCTGACTGACAGCTAGAACAGCTCTTCTGTGACATTTGGGGAGGAGGATTTCAGTGCTTCTCCGTGGACCTTTCCCAAAGATCATGACACTGCCCAAAGCAACAGGTAAGAGCAATTGCCCAGAATAGATCTCAGGGGTGTTGGGGGTTCCTGCGCTGCAGGCTCCAGTGGTTCATGTCCCTCCGTGTCTCCACAGGTCTCTGTGAAGCCATGGCAAGGTCTGGCCCCCTCAGCTAAGTGCTCCCCACCTTTTCTTTTGGCAGCACAGCGGATGCCTTGTGAAGTCTGACCTAGAATAGAGACTAGACACAGTAAGAATAAAGTAGGGATTTATTAAAAGGCCTCAGTGGATCCACCTTGGGCAGTGCAAGAGCCTGGCCAGGGCTTCACCCAAGATGGACCCAAAATGGTCACAAAATGGACAACCAGTCATGGGGTCTCTCACTTTTATAAGTTTTGGTCCATTTGCACATTGGAGTTAATTGTCCAATTTCAGCTTTAGGTTATGAAGTCCCATCCTTCTTGTTTTTCTCTCTTCAGCCCACGTTGTTTGTACTCTTGGGCCTGAGATTTGGATAATTTGTCCTTGGTCCCCAGCTAGAGAAGGAATTGTTTTGTCTCCCAGCTCTGTGCACAGAGCTCACCATCCCCTCATATGAAGCCCAGACCCACACACTAAAACAGTACAGAATCTGAAAAATATAAAACTCAACCCTGAGGCATCACAGCCACAAGGCTGGAGCACGGGTGGGACAACCCTCAAGTGAGCATTTGCTCTCTCTTGTACCTTCTCTGGGTGTTCTGTGGAGAAAGCTGCCCTGATCCTGCCCAGGCTGTGCCATGCTGGCCTTCAGCAAAGTGCAGGGATGAGCTCTGACTGTGCAGCACACCAGGGACAGGAGTTGTTGATTTCCTTTACCCCTTGAGGGTAAATGAACGTGGTTCCCTGTTGGTCTGTAGGCAGTTGTCATGTTTGTTTAGAGAATAGGTGGGACTGTGTGTTGGGCCTGAGCCGCAGCCCTGGTGGTAGGCCCAGTGTGGGGACACAAGGCCAGGCAGGGCTTCTTATGAGAGGAGAGCAGAAACCTTGGCTTTTTCCTCCTAGCAGCCAAAGATGGGTGAAAAAAAGCTCTCCATCAGTAGATAAGAGGAGAGAGAGGAGCTATTTAGGCTAGAGGAGGGCATTGGTATATGGAAAGGGTGGAAATAAAGTAGGAATTAGAAGCAGGCTTCCAACAAGTGTCATATTCCCATTGGGACTGCATTTCCTGGTAAGGCACAGTAACAGGAACTGAAATGCTTGTTGAGGGCTCAGCTCTTGTATTCACACAGGGATTTATCCCACAGGCACAGCAGGAGGGCCCAGGCCAGCCCATTTTCCTCATCCTCTGGTTTGGCAGAGCTCAGGCACCAAGCCAGCCATCTGCGTAGCAGCACTGCCCCAGAAACACCTCCCAGAGTGTGGGAGGAACAAACATCCCAAAGGGAGAACACTATTTTTGGGCTATGGCCCTTCCAAGTCCTAGCAAAGCCATGAAAAATGCTCCAATTTTGGTGGAAGGCAGGAGAGGCCGTGCCAAGTCAGTGCAACTCCCACACACATGAAGTCAAGGACAGCATGAAGTCAAGGCATGGCAGAGGCTGAATGTTCCCAGCCATGGGCCAGCCCCAAGTTCTATGAAGCAATATTTCATTTGCCTTCTCAGAAGCATCCAGAATCAACCAGCTTGGCTAGCCCAAGCCTGGCTGCATGCAGTCACAGAAGTGTGGTTTGGTTTATACAACAGCATTTCCATGGACATCCGGTGCTGCTGGAGTCTGCTTAGGAGAGCAACAGCATTGAAGTAATGTCCTTTTGGGCTGCCTTCAGCTGCTGTGGTTGAGCAAACACTGCTGAGAAACTCTCAGGGCTGAGCCTGTTTTGTGCCTGCACTGCCTGGCTTTTTAAAAACACTTTTCTTTGTTGCTGTAGCCAGGAATTCCATGGTTTTTCTTCAGTGAAGTAAATTGTGTTGTTGGCCTTTAAAGCTCTCTGTTGTTAAAAGTGAACTTTGAACCTGGCAGGAAACAAGGTTATTGTTTTCTCAGCATGAGTGTTTCTAAACAAATTGGCATCATGGGCACAAAGTTCTGGGCAGCTACCAGCCAAGATCAATTTGAGAGTCCGAAAGGTTGGGACGTATTTCCATTTCAACAGGTAAGAGCTGGAACATCATCAGATAAAAGGCAAGGACTGTTCTCTTCTGGGCTTCATGCATCAGGTGGGACCTCTTGGTGGCACCGAGACTCTCCCAGAGTCCCTGGGCAGCCCAGGCTCTGCAGTCAGACCCTGTGGGGGTACAAAGGATGTTTGGGTACCACTGCCTGGTTGCATTTGTTAACATTTAGAGCAGCTTCACATCTGTGTGTGCTGCTGCAGTTTGTGTCTCCTGCAGGGCAGCTGTTGCTCTGAGTGGTTTAACACGCTGTTGGCATCTGCTTGCTGTCACCAGCGAGCCATGGCCATGCAGAGAGGGTGCTTGGGGTGGGTGACATGGCCAAGAGCAGCCTTGGAGGGAGGCTCTAACCCCTAGGGATATCAGGCTCTGTGTGTCTGTTTGCTGTGCATGTTACTGCATCAATTCCAGTGAAGAGTGTTCTGCCACTCTTCGTTTGTTTTTAATTCTCAGTGATATCTAGGTAACATCAAAGGAACGTGTCCTTTGGTTTGCAAAAACCCCCTGATATTAAGTACTTCTTTTTCCCAAATGAAAATAACTCCTGCAAGTCGCTGGTGCTTGGGTGAGGTGAGACTTCCGAGCACACAAAAGGTGTCACAAGCCTTTGTCACCTCCATTCACAGCTTCCCAGGCAAGGAAACAAAACCCATCCTTTGTGAATGATCGCTGGTGGCCATGGCGCGAACCCCCTCACTGCAGCTGCAGGAACCTTTCACACCTTCCATCAAAGGCAAGGCAGTGCAACCTCATTTGACATCTCAGAGAAGTCAGAGGTGCTGTGCAGGCTGTCCTTGCTGTCCCAGAGGAGTGCAGGCACCACTGGGGACCACAGCAGCACTGCCACCGTGCTCATCCCTCCTCCCAGCCTAAGGAAGCACCCACACTCAGCCCTCCCTGGGCTGAGACCCCACTCAATCACTGAGATTGTTTCCTGGGCAGACCCATCAAGAAAGGAAATATTAAAGCCACGTTTGAAATTTTTTAATTATTTCCTTTTTTTTATTTTGTAATTTGTCTGATGGAGTGGGACTTGCTGAAATGGCATTTTATTTCCTGGATGTAGCAGTCCTGTGTTGTGTCTGGATGCAGATCCACACAGGAGGCAAGCAGCCCAGGATGGCAGCAGGGACGTGAATCCTCAATTTGGGGATAAGCCTTGTGGTGTGTCATTTTTCAGCTGGTTGTTTTATCTCTCTGTGCTCTGGGAAGGGTATCTTGACACAGACAGTTTGCAGAGCCATTTCAGCTGTTCAGACAGCTCAGCCACAATATGTTGCCTCAAATTGTTCTGTCAAGCACATGCATCAGCTGTATTTGCTTGCCTTGAAGCTGTGAAAACCAGAGACCCTCCTGAGAAAATTTAGCTTCTACATAGAAATAAAGAGGGTGACAATGTTCTCAAATGTACAAATGCCACACGAGGCAGTGAGCTGCAAACCTGCCATGGTCTGTGAAGCTCTTTAGATTTCAGATGAAATCATTAGCTGCTGCAGTCCCAAGGCCTTGGCATGGAGAACTGCAGCTGAAGGGCTGTGTTGTCCTTCCAAGGTGCCTGCAGTGCCTCAGGGGTGGCTGCTGAGCTCCATGGGGGCTCAGGGGTGCAGCAGCTGCTGCCAGTGAGGCAGGGACGCACAGCAGGGCACAGTCAGACCAGTTTGGGCTGATGAGACCTTTCTGTGGGTGCTCAGTGGCCTGAGCATGGGGGAGGGCAGTGGCAGGGGCTGGTTTTGGCTGGCACAGGCCCTGGGGACCCAGATCTGGTCAGACGAGCAGCACTGGGCTGTGGGCATGAGGCACAAGGTGAGGTTACCCCTCGGTCACACCAGAGCTGAATGATGGAGCAAAGCTGTGACACTTCTCTGCTTCTCAGGACAGAAAGAACAAGACTCCTGTTCCTTATGGTGACAGAGACGTTATCCCTTCTGTTTCATTTTCGTGCACTAAACACCAAATTCTGGCAGCACGATGCTGCACCTGCTTTCCATGTCCTCTGCATCCAAGCACAGAGGCTGACACCCAGTGGCCATGGGATTTCTAGCACCTGTACAAGATAGAAAATTTCAGCAGAGATGCCTCAGCCGGTGAGATCCAACACCCACCTTTTCATTCCTCAAGTGCAGGAGGAGTAAAGAGTTCTGAGAGATCACAGAATGGGCAAGTCTGGGAGGGAACACTGGAGCTCATCTTGTTCAAACCCCTCTCAAGCAGGGTCCCCAAGTGCTCTTTAGTCAGGATTGTGTCCAGACAGCTTTTTAATACCTCCAGAGGAGACTCCACAACCTCTCTGGGCAGCCTGTTCCCATGCTCTGTCTCCTTCACATTAAAGTTCCTCATGGTCAGGTATCAATTCCTATGTTCCTATGTCAGCCTTGCTTTGTGTCAAGTTAGAGTGGTTGAAACACTTGTACTGAGAGGCCACTCAGAAAAATTAAAAAATATGAGGATGGATATGAGGAAACAGAATGTAAGCAGATTTTCAAATTATTCTCTTTCTGGCAGCTTGAAAATGCACCTCAGTGAGAGAAGAAGGGTGAGTTATGAATTCAAAGACCTTGGTGTTCCTCTTCCTTGTTTTGTTACTTCCCAAAAGCAGCTAGAATATGACAGACTAAAAGGATTTTGCATTTCCCTTCAGCATGCACAGGATCGTGCTTTTGTATGTGTGACAAGTATTGACATTCTCTAGGGAGAAAAAAGCTGGGTAGGAAAAGTTTGGTTTATTCTTCGACAAATGGCTCTAAGACTTTATCAGTCAAAGACAGAAAGAAGACTCTAAACTCATGGGTATGCAAAGACAAAGACATGTCTCACCAAACATGTGGAGCTTAGTTGGTAAAAATACGTGGAACCCAGACATGAGCTGGGAACAATAAGAGCAGAGCATGCCAAAGGAGGGATTTTGAAAGTGCTTTACTAAAAATATTAATTATGAACTACAGCAAATGAATTAAAACATTCTCATGAGACAACTGTGTGAAAGAAATACTTTGGTGTAATTCTATAAACACAGGATAAAAAACCACTGCTGAAATTCTAGCGAGGTTCAGGGTGTTAGGAAGGCGAGTGCCATCTATCAGGGCTGGATTTTGCAAATGCTGCAGATGTGACTCTGTGAGAAAGCAGGAGGGAGGTGTTTTGCTGCTGCTGCAGTGAGGACCCTCTGCAGGGATGAGTCTGGGGAGCAGGGAGCCCTGCATTGGGGCCAAGCCCAGCTTTCCTCACCTAAATGCTCTTGTGAAACTGCAGCATACAGATACCATAAGTAGATGTACTTAATTTATCACTCTGTTACTAGGCAGGTTTCTAGGCAGGCTTCAGCCCAACTTTTATATTCTGTGGTTACTGAAATAGCTCTGATCTTTTTTGGGGTGAGTTCTAGCTGTGGAGGTACAACAGCCTTTGCTCTCTCTTACTTGCACCCATGCACTTTAATTCTTCTTCCCTTCTTACTTTGTTTTGGGTAAAACTGGACTAGAGCCTTTAGCCCAGTTTAAACCCATCCAGCAGGTTGGGGCTGCTGCAGTATTTGCCCCAATCCAAATGCCTTGCCCAGCATTCCCACCTGGTAAAGTAGGTGAGATTGCACCAGATGTACCCAGGACAGCAGGCTGGGCTTGGCTGCCTGCCCTACTTCTTCCCTTGGGGACATTCACAACGCACTCACATGTTTTTAGTAGATATTTTAACAGTTTAAGAGTCTGGCAGAACATCAGAGGCTGGTGGCAATTCTGAAAATCCACACCCAGTGCATGCTCACAGGTGTTTTTCAAAGTAAAGCCGTCCTGTGGTGGCTGCCCAGGAGGCAGCAGAGGCAGATTGTGTCTCAGCAGAATTACAGCAACCATGAAACTTCATTTCTACTTCAGTTCATGCATTGACCTTGTTTTTTTTCCTGGTTCTTTTCTCCTTAGGTTGCTCCCCAAATCTGACTGGGCTGTTTCCCATTTAGCAGTGGAAGCAGCTGATAGTGATTGAATAATTTTGCAGTTGGATGTGTAAGACATCCAACTGCTTGCATCCAACAACACTTGCTGTGTTGTTTTGTTTCTGATTGGATTAGTATGGCTCTTTACATAACTGATTGACACAAACTTGATTTTCTCTCTGGGCTTCCACTGTTCATTAGAAATTTCCAGTTTGAATAAATTTCCTTCAAGAAAATACATTTTCAGGGTTGTTCTGATGAAATGAAACCACACTAAACCCCTGTGTTTGCCTTGGTCAGTTCTTCAAGCAAAAAAAACCTAGCATGGGCTTGGAAAAGGGTATTTCATCCAGAGATGATTTTTAAATTTTTTTTTTCTATCATCATCATCATAGAGAATGATTCCTAAAAAATCAGTCAGCAATTTCATCACCTGACTACATGAGAAACATCAGGGGTGCTTCATTGAATTCTGGTGCCAATGTCCAGTTCCTAGAGAAATTCCCATGCCACATTTGCTGCAGTGACCCTCACTTCTCCTCTGAATCATCTGTCCTTTGCAGTAGCTGTGGTCATTCCTCTTCAGAGGAAAAGTTTCTCTCAAGGCCTTTGCACCTGAGCTTTTCAGCAGGTAAGGCATATCAGCTGATGAAATGGATATCTGAGGTAGCTCCTGTTCAGCATTTAGGTGCTCTCAGCAGGCTGAGTGGGAAAAGGGAAGATCAGGTGAGAGCAAGGTGGGCACAGGGGCTGGAGGCAGGTGTTTGCACATGTGTAGCATTGTGTATGAGGTGCTGCCCTTCAGTGTGTGTGTCCTGCTGACAGATTTCTGGAGTCCTCACAAAAGAAAAAACCCAAACAAGCCCACAGAAGAACATGTTATCTTTATTCATGGCAGTTTCCACTGCCTCTTTTTCTCCCTTGTCCTGGTATCAGAAACACCTTTGCTTCAGAGGCAGGTCAGATCTCTTCCAGTTTTCCTGCAGTCATTTAAGCCCCTCCAGTTTTCCTGGGCCTGTTGAGGACTGGGATGGCAACAGCTGCCTCCACAAGTGGCAGCAGGCAGGGAAGACCCACGTGGGCTGCAGAAAGCTCAGGGCTCCTGGGCTGTCCTTGGGATGGTTCCATGAGCAGCCCACCAAACACCAGCAGTGCAGCAGGCACAGGCAGTTAGAATCCCACAGATGTCTGCAATGGCTTTCCTGCTGGGGATCTGAAAGGGACACAGGCTGTTATTCCCAACACTCACAGAGCTGAGGCCATGCTCCAGCGTCCCCATCGCACATCCCAGTGGCAATGCAGGAAGCATTTGCTTTCCACAGATTTCTCACTAGCATCTACAATTTGTTCAAATTTCACAAACCAAAACATTTGGAAGGCAGATGCACAGCAAAGATGAAGGGGTGTGATTCTGGGAATGCAAACAGGTGTCAGTTCATCTCTGGGGACCACACAAGGGTCTTTCTAGAGCCAGTTCTCCCTCATGAGTGATGCCTTAAAAGGCTTATTAGAGAAGCTTCCTGCTTGGTTATGCTACATAGCCATCAGGAAAAGAAAACAGTTATCAGTATTGGGGCATCAGTTCTCTCAGACATGAAGAAATTATCATCAGTAAAAGCAGACAAATTCATCCACTCATCTGCTTTCCCCTCATGCCATCACTGACATGAATGTAAACAGCTGGGATGAGAGTGCCAAAAGAATGAGGATTTAGCCCATTAAAATGGCACTGCTATAACACAGCTAGGACAAATCTCTGCTCTTGAGTGGTTTGGGGCATGATAATAGCTTTATTTATGCTGCTGTGCATGCAAGCAACTGCTGCATTTAACAGAAGCAGTCAGCTCTTATGAGCAGTATTTGAGTCTCTGCAGTGAGTTTATGGGTTGCTGTAGGGGCATTTCATATCAGAAACAGACACACTCAGGAGGGTTGTTTACTGAAAATGAACTCTTGTTTGCTGTCCAATCTTAGAGCATCTATTAATGTTTGGCCCTTAGACATTCAATGTGATATTTCAGTTACAGCTAGCTGTAGTTATAAATAGTTACAGACATCGACAAAAAAGCACATTGCTCGGACAGGCATCCTTGGTGCTTACCTTTTCTTGCACTGGCCAATCAACATAAATATTATGAGGCTAATTGTCAAACTCAGGATTACTGGAATGAGAATAAATAGCTGCTTGTCCTCTTTTCTGGGCACTGCAAAGATAAAGGGCAGGAAATAAGATGGTAAAATGGATTATATTACATCCTACAAAGCTTGAGTTCAGACACAAACTCACCTTTTCCATGTTGTCCTACACCTTTTTATTTATTTATTTGTTTGTTACAGGTATATATTACTGGGTTGAAGGTGGAACTAAGCCAGCAGCCCGCCTGCAGGGTTGGACACCAGCAGATCCCCAGGGCAGCACCTGCACCCAAGCAGGTTTTATAAACCATATTAAAGAAACACAATTTATTTTCAGTTCCATACCAGAGAAACAGTCCTGCGTCCATTCACTCCAGAAGCCTTGGTCTGCACAGAAAATGTTTGTTCTCCCCCTGACACGAACACATGAAACGTGGCTTTGGTTTGCTCTGGAAATTGTAACAGCAGTTTCCATTTGGGTCGAAACAAACTGAGAAACAAAACAGAAAGAAATATCAAGGAATTGCGTGCCACCACCAGAATCTGCCTGGTGTGGCCTGATGTTCCTGCACATTTTCCAGGCTCTGTAAACCTTTGGATTATCTTTTGGCAGTTTTAAATTATTTCACAATAGTTTTGTACAAGCTAATGCAAATAACATGACTATGAAGACAAATCTACTGAAGATATTTTTTGGAGGTGTCATCATGTATGTTGCCATTTATGCCTGTTAATTTCCAGAATCTTTCTTTTAATTACCTAAGAGGACTCATGAGTGGAATACAGCAATTAAAAAAGAGATGTCCCCTATGATTAATTAGCCCTTTTTGGTTTTGCCTCCAAACTGAACCTGGATAACATACAAGGAAAAAGCACCATGCATAAAATATATATTCTGTCCCAGGCCACTCCTTTTGAGAGATTAGAATTACAGTTTCATGGGTCCAAGTTATGCCACCCTATTCAGGGAAACAAACCGTAGCGAGCTTTAAATTTCCTCGATGGCAGATTTCTGAGATAGCAGGCTCTCTTGGAGCCTCCGGCTGGGCTCCGTTCCTGCTCCAGCCGAGCCGCAGCTGCAGGTCAGGGGGTTAAGGAGGAGCGTGTGCGGTGCAGCCGCGCTCCCCTCGGGGTAACCCACACAGCCTGCCGCAGACTGTGCCCCCGCTGCCGGCTCGGCCGGGCAACCCTAACCCCCTCCCGTCCCTGGGACACCCCGGCGCTGTCCCTACCGCCCAGGCTGCCGCGTCTTCGGCCACCTGCACCTCGTACTCCAGGCAGTGCGGCGGCACCCGCCCGCCCGGCGGGCTCCAGGCGGCCCTCAGCTCCTGGGCTGCGGACAGCGAGAGCTGCAGCTGCTCCGGGGCCGAGGGCTGGGCTGGGGGAGAGAGAGAGAGAGAGAGAGGGTCAGGTGCTGGGACAGCTCCTGTGCTGGGGACACCGACAGCTCCGGCTTCTCCGGAGCCGAGAGCTGTGCTGAGGGGAGAGAAAGACAGAGAGAGGGTCAGGAGGGGCTGGGAGAGCTCATGGGTGCGGACGCCGAGAGCTGCAGCTGCTGCGGGGCCGGGGCTGTGCTGGGGAGAGAGAGACAGAGAGAGAGAGGGTCAGAGGGGCTGGGACAGCTCCATCTGCTGCGGGGCCGGGGCTGTGCTGGGGAGAGAGAAACAGAGAGGGCCAGGAGGTGCTGGGACAGCTCCTGGCCGAAAGGCTGCGGCTGATCCCCTCCTGCCTCTGTCCCTGTCCTCGCTAATGGATTTCTGAGCGCTCCTGGCTCTCAGCCACCACGCTGGAGGAGCAGGGTGTCACCGAGGCTGCAGGGTGTGTTGTTTATTTTAACTTAGCACACAGCCTGGCCGGGGTCCCTGCTCTGGGCTGCGGGGCAGGGGTTTGGGGGCGCGGGGTGTGAGCGCCGTGTTCGGCACGTTCCCTGCCCGGCACATTCCCTGCCCGGCACGTTCCCTGCCCAGCACATTCCCTGCCCGCTCTGCATCCCAGAAAAGGCTCCGATTCCTCTCCCAGACCCAGAGCCACACACGAAGCACGTGGCAGCACTAATTGAATTCAGAAATCCTGCTCCTTAGCCCAGTGGCTCAGCTGGATGATTGGCTATTTGTCCTTCTGGCATGTAGGCAAATGCACCAGCATGGTTTAATAAATATACACCGTAATAAACACGGAGTAATGTGTAATGTTTGCACATCATGCTGTGCTCTGCCCCCTTTCCATGTCTGTCACGGGTTTGAAATCCATCTCTGACAGACTCCATCACATCTGGCACTCAGCTCACCCCAGACCTTAGCTTGGTTTGAACAGCAAAGCTCAGAGTTCTCTCCTGTGCTTGCAAGGAGTGCAGCAGCGGTTTCAATCCCGGCAGGAGTAAATGAAGATATCTCTGTGACTGTGTTGCTAGAGCCAAAACCCCATAGCTGCTCTGCCACATGCCCAGCAGGCCATGTGTGTCCTGAGCTGTCCACATGCAGCACTTGGAGGCACCCACTGACCTCCAGGGCTGTGCTGGGGGGTGTTCCTTCCCTGCAAACACTCCTGGAAACTGAAATCCTGCTTGGCACAGGCCACAGCCCTTCCCTGGGGGAAATGCACACATTGCAACCACCCAGCTCCAAAAGCACACATTGAATGGAGAGCCCTAACACAGGCAGTGGCCCTGGGCTGTGTGCTGGCCAGCAGGGTCCCTGCTGCTGCCCTGGCAGCCTTACCGAGGTTGTGCAGGCGCAGGGTGCTGTACAGCGGCCGGAGCTGGGCGGCTGCTGCCGAGCCATTGACGCAGATGTGGAGATCCCGGTACTCTGCCTGGCTCAGGTTGTGCAGCACACAGCCCAGGTTCAGCCCATGCTCCTGGATGTACTGAGCACATTGCATTGTCTGCTCCAGCCCCTCGTACCTGGCACAGAAACAGAAAGAAGAACAAAGCAAATTACTGCTTAGCAAAATGGTTTTTATGAGATTGGACCTCAAGTACTGCCCATATCCCAGCCTTTGTCCTAAGCACAGTGCTGTGGGTCAGTCATCTGCACTCCTGCTATGGCACAAGTGTGGAGAAGAGAAAAAACACAAATTAACATGCACAGACAGTTTCTCAGGTTGGTTTTTAGGCTGTGTCAGGATCTCCCCAAGCCCATTCCTGGAGCATGAGAGGTGCCAGTGTGTGCCTGGAGCTGGCGAAGGATCTGGCCACCACTCATGGAGACAGTCCTGCTCCTCTAGGGCCCTTCCTGCACCATCAACCACGGACTCTGGAGTTGCAGAAACCCTCCCAAACCAAACTGAGGTGTCTTTAGGCAGGAGATGTGTGCCTGAGTGCTGCTGAGCTGCTCTGGCTGACTGCAGGTGGTTCCCATGGCTCTCCATGGGCACGTGGAAACTCAGGGTTTGCTGTTTGTTACTTGATGTGCAGCCACAGCCCTGTCCCTCCTGCCTTTGGGAGCCACTCCCCAAAGCTGAGCTGCTGGCTGCATCCTGGAAACACTGACTGGTGTCTCATAGTGCCTTTCAAGATTCCTGCTGCTTTGTGCCCTCACGACAGGGCTGAATTTGGCCCCTGTACTCCAGACCTAATGAAAATCTCTTTGCACAGCACATTATGTTTGGGGGAAAAACTTCATGTTCTAGTACTATAAAAATTTGCTCACAGGGATCAAAGGATGCCGTGGTGTCCACCCAATCTTGTGATAAAATGGGACCCAGATCCAAATGCCTGGTTTTATTGAAGGCAATTGACTCAAGGTTGGGTTTTTTTAGTGTTTGTTTTCCTTTAAGGCATGAATCATGCATTTCCATGGTTTCCTTCAAGCAGATCTTTGCAGTTAGCAAAATGGTTTTGAATTGGTGCTTCTCCTTTGAAGACTATTTCCAAGAACTCCATGGAAGCTCTTTAAAATGCAGCTATGCTTTTGTCCACATAGCCCGGTGGCATGAAACCCAGCCTAAGTCATCCTTTCCATAATATCATAGGAGCTGAAGCACAAATACAGTATTTGCTTTGTCCCAAGCCACTAATTCTAGCTGTGTTTTTCCTGCAGAACAGAATTTAGGCACCAGTTTAAAAGAAACAGCTGAGAATTATGTATTATTATTATTATTACCTTGTGGCAGCGTGTTTGCTTGTCTGGGATGTGCTGAGGCTATGGAAATATATTTGAACACTAAAGCTCTGAGTTGATGAGAAGCTCCACTCTGTGTCTAGGGTTCACTGAGCTTGGTAGCCTTGTGCTAAATCCTGTCCAATTGAGATATATGCACTGTGTTCATGGGAAATGTGCAGCCAGAACTACCCAGGTGTGTTTAGCAAAGAGAAAACACAAGTCTTTATGGTGAACAACATGCAGAAAACACCTCCTGGGGATGAATAAAAGGAAAGGAGGAAGAGAAGAGACATTTCCTGGCAAAGATCAGCGTGGGCCTGATTTAAGACAGTAAGAAAGAATTTGGTATTTTCTTGCCAGTAGCCATGTATTGCTTGGGACATTATTTTGGCTCATTCTGGGTGAACTGGGCAATAGCACTGCCAGCTATAAAAACATATTTCCTGTGGCATTTTTGTACTCTGAGTGGCTCACTTGATTGCTGCCTGGCTGTTTTCCTGTTTGGCTGTTACATACCAATAATAGAGCCCATAGTGTGCACCACGAGGTGTGAGGAGACCTGGCTGCCAGGTGCACTTCAGGTATTCCCAGTCATGATAGATGCACTTGAAATTCTGGACCTCTGATTCAAGTTTTCCTGTCAAATGAGAAGGAAATAACCACTATTTAGCAGTGTGCAGAAAAACCACAGTTTTATGCCTTTGAACAACTGCGTGCTGCAGCTGAAAGATAAAAAATGAAAAGAAAGGAAAAAAGAAAAGGCAGCCAGTCAGAATTATTAGTTTTACTGCCAAGTGCTCTGTGTCCCATAAAAGCCAGTCCACCTTGGAGCAGAAAGATGCTAAACTGACCTTTTCACTCAGCAGTGGAGCTCTTGCAGGGCAGCTGAGCAGAGCTTGGGCATGGGCAGAGGGAAACAAGCCCCAGGTGTCCAGTGACCACAAGCACAGCCTTGGGTAGCAGAGCTGCTCTAGTGTCTTAAACTGCAGCAAGCCCTGCAATGTTATCCATCCAGGAACCCTCCAGCCAGCACTGGCTCATGCAACAGGCTCATGCAAAGCACCCAACTGCAGCAGGTGCCACAGGCTGCTCCTGACCTTGTGGTGGGATCTGAAAGGTTGCATAAATCCAGTCACTCTGCACCTCCACGTCACCTGTACACCTTCCTTTGAGCAGTGTCTGCAGCCTCACTTCAGCAGTCCTGCTGAGGTCAAATCCAACTCTGAGTTTTAGCTTCCTAGTAAAAATAACCTGGTTGAAAGACAGATTTTTTTAAGCACCTCTTCTGTCACTAAGTGGGCTGCAGAATTAGGTACCCTTGCTCTTGCTCCAGCTGCAAATTTGTGTGCTTTATTATCTCTTTATATTTCTGTCCTGCCTCCCTTGCCCAGGGCTTCTCCAGCATTAATTCAAGGCTGTGCCCAGCCTTGCTGGCTGTGAGTCCCCTCACCTCACAGGACCCGGCCAGGACAGGGCAGAGCAGGCTGATCAATGGGACCCCAGCAGCAAGGAGCACTGCCTGAGGAGGATACCACCACAAATCCACATAAAAGGCATTTTTTATGGTGTGAAATAATGAGAAACAGAAAGAACAATGAGTCTTGTAAGGCTAGTTCCTGTGGGAAGTGCAAGCAGCCCCTGAAAGGGTGAACCAGCAGCCAGGCAGAGCAGCACAGCCTCACCCACCACTGTGTCCCACCTGGCTTGGCCTTTGGGGGACTTTTTGAGCACCCCCTTTGAAGGTTTTTCTGTTGTTTTCCCCTCAGACTTACTCCCCTTCACTTCATGCGAGGACAACAAAGTTGATAAATGATGAGACAAGGTGTTGTGTTAGCTCATGTAGGACAGAGGTAATGTGCCCTAAATGCATCTGTGCCATAAAACGCAGTGGGAACTGCAGTGGCACAGCCTGCAGTGTCCTTAGCCCTCCCCAGGTGTGAGAGCTCTGGTGAGCCAGGTATTTCTAACAGATACCAGTGATGTTGTCATTGATCATCTTCTGCTGATGTCCTATGGATTCTCTTCTGCCTGACTGTTCTTTGTGCCCTTATCTGAGGTCAACATTTTGGCAAGGTGTCAGAGGTGATTTCGCTCTAGCCTGTACATCTGCCTCATATAAGAAGCTTTTATTACTCATAACTAAAGGAATTCAGATTTTTTTTTTGAAACTGCATATGGTTTTCCTTTAAATTGCAGTTAAAACTATCCTGGAGAGCTCTGCACTGCTGCACAGCTGGGAGCATGAGGCGCATTGTGACAACCATCAGGTCCAGGAGCCCCTTTCCACGCCCTTGCAATTGCAATCCATAGCTGAAAGAGGAATTTCCCCTCTGCAGGCTCCTCTGGGATGAGCCTGACCCCATTGCTGTGGGGGCTGAGCACCGCCCAGCAGCCCTGGCTTTGCTGCCCAGGCAGGTGAAGCAGTGACCTGTTCCAGCACTGCCAGCCTGAGTGCTCCTTCTCTCTCCCTGTCTCTTGAGCTGGCAAGCCCTCTAGCTCTCCTGCTTTAGGATTGTGCAAAAAAAATCTCTTTTTCTTTCAGGATTTCAATCTGTGTTTTGGGTTGTTGAGGGAGATCCTCAGCATATTTTTCATGTGTTCCTCAGTACCTTGTGCCAACCAAACAGCCCCCACTGCTGGGTTTCTCCTCTCCCCGTTCCATTTGCCTTCCCAACCCTGCAGCAGCTTTCATCTTCTAAGCACTCACAAAATAAATTCCAACAGCCCTTCCTGTGCTGTGCCTGCTGCTGCCCTGCTACACATCAATGAAAGATGACTGACAATTTTATCAAAGAGCTGAGTTAGAGTCAACCGCATCTAAAGGAGAGAAGTAAATTGCAATTAGAAACACAGTTCTGGATAGAGGGAATTTTAGAGCATTAGGATAATTAATGAAATTTAACTTTTATTTGTTCACTGCTCTACATCCCTAAGGATCTGTTGTTTCAGCTCAAGCCCCATAAAGATGCTTTAGAAAACTGTAAATATTTTTTCCTTTTACAATGAGGAATGTTATTATTCTGGGCAGCAAACACCCAGCCTTGTGACAGAAAGAACCCTTTCCCTGGCTGCTGCTGCTGTTACATTTCAAGGCACATTCCCATTCAAACCACTGAACCAGTCCGGTTTCTCATGGAAAACTGGAACAGCTTTGGTTCCACTCCTGCTCAAAATGCAGACAGGAATTTGTGCAGGAAGGAAAGGCAGAACAGCCCTGGTTTGGGAGGATTAATCCATGCTGTGCCTTACCTTCCAGTCTCTATCCCCAGTGCTGTGATATTCAAGCTTGTATTTTATTGTGCACTCCTGCAAGGTCTGGGCGTGGGGAGGAGGCTTCCACTCCACATCCAGGGAGCCCAGGAGCCCAGGGTCAGTGATCTGCAGGTCTTGTGGGGGAGCAACTGCATTAAAGACAAAGCAGAGGGTGAAACACAGAGTCCAAGTGGAGAAAACAACCCCAAAGCAGCCATGAAACATCAGTGTGATGCTTTGCTATGAATGGTTGAAATGCAGCTGCTGGATGTGAAGTGCTGCAGCCCTGGCTGTTCAACAAACACACACGAGCTCTGCCCTGCCCACCAAAAACCAGTTTTTGCAGCTGCTCAGAGAGAGCACTCAAGGATCATGGAAAAAGCACACAGAAGGCCACTTTTTCACACCCTTTTTCAAGATGTTTTAAGCAAAACTGCTGTCCTGGGATGACCTTTCATGTGCTGTATTTGCTTGCCTTCAACCCCTGGTATTTACCAACCTTCAGGACACTTATCTCTGCAAACATTGTGTTCAGCACATCCACCAACACAGGATGGCAGATCAAAGTGTGCTGTCAGGGGGATTTGTATTCCTTTGCCTTAATAGACACAAATCACCCATATTGCTTTAAATATTCCTTTCAAGTCTTTTAAAGATTATTGGGGGGGAAAAAAACAGGGAAAAAAGGTAAAAAGCAGAGATTTAGAATAATTCTAATTTTGGACATCTATCAGCTATACAAAAATGTGCCTTTACAGCTGATCTGGCTTTTATAAAGGTATTTCAAGGTGCTGCAATGTGTCAATAAATAAGGAAGTGTGGATGAATTCTATCCTAAGACATGTCCTAAAGATCCAGCTCTCTATGGAGCTGTCATTCACATGACAAAAACTTTTTGGCTGCCCAGTTTTATTAGCTGAAACAAAGCCCATTTTTGTCAACATCAAAGGTCATTTTTCTCCACTATTTACAGGTGAGATTATCCATTTGGTTTCTGCATACTCATTGCATGATGCACTTTATTTCACAAGAATTTGGTGGTGCCAGTCCAGTATTACCACCATTCTCCCTTTGAGTCTGGCCTCCAGATCACTTCTCTAACACCTTTTTCATATCTTCATCAGGATTTACACCATTTTTTTTCCTTTTATTCTTATAATAAATCCATTGTGAAAGCAGACCATAAGGATATTTTTCTGTGGAAGATGGTGACATAAATCCAGCTTTAATGTGCTCCCTGGAAAGTTTGCAGGGTATATTGCTGGAGGATTTGTTTCTTCTACAGAAATTTTCCCAAATAAAGCACACTCCAGGCAGCAGTTTGAAAATCCCACTGTTCCCAGAATGTGAAGCTCCATGGGAGATTTGTTACTACATTAGGTGGTGAAGTAGGAGATACATTTAGGATGATACTGGACCAAGGGCTTGGGAGGCTCCTCCTGAGTGTATAAATACTGAACCTCACAAGGAAAAAAACAAGGAAGAAAAAAGCTGCTAGCCTTTGTCATGATAAGCTGTCAAGAGAGGATTAGATTGCTCAGAACTGGAATTTCTGTCTGGGTAGGAGAATGATCTGAAATTTATTTATATATTGAGCTTAAGCAAAACAGAAGCTTTTTAAAAACAATTGTAATTGTAAACAGCAATTCTTGCAAAAAACATTTACTGGATTTCAGAGGGAATAAAAAAGCTTCTCTTTGGGATGGTGCTTGCATTCTGGGATTTTATTGTTTTTAAATGTCAGCACTGCCTCCTGCAGTTTCTCATTTTCACAATAACACATTACCAGTCTCACTCACATCCCCATCACTCACACGGAACACAGGACTGGAAATGCAATATTTCATCATACAGTCTTGAAGGAGAGCTGCTCCTGGATGTTTCTTGGAGAAAACCAAACTAACAGCTTCTCCCCCTGAGAATGTTTGTGGTGGTGAGCCAGGCAATCCTGAGCTGGCTGTGGGACAGCCACAGCCCTCAGTGCCACCAGCACCCCTGCTCTGGTGACTGCTGGGACCCAGCACATGGGGAATGTTCCTCTGCCTGTCCTGAGATGTCCTGACCCCCAGGTGAGCACTGCTTTCAGCCTTCACCCATGGAGAAAGCTCCCAAGGCTTTGGGATGAACTGGAATCTATGGGTGTGTGAAATAGATGGTGGTGTAGTTCATCACAGGGTGAAAAACTCAGAGTTTTGGGTTTTTAGTTTGGAGGTAAATGGGAGAGAAGACGGAGGATTTTGGGCATTATCTGATCTCCTCCTTGCTCTTCATCTGCTCCGTTTTCTGCAGTGTTGATGGCACAGGGTGATTGGTTAGAAAGAGCCCCAATGCAGATGTTGTGTGAACAGACAAATAATTAGTTTTTGGTAGAAAGATAGAAATAAAACACATTCCAAGAGATAATTGGACTAAATAGTTTTAAAAGACCTTGAACCTGCGTGTCTTGTGACTTTTTTGGAGCCTTTCTCTTTGTATGCTGTCTGGAATGACATGCAGAACTGTTGATAAGAGAAAAAATAAACAACAACCTGAAGACTGACAAAACCAAAAGTCCCCTTCATTTCTCAATCCAGGCACAGAACTTTTTAGGAGTCTCCCTGTCAGGGGAACTTCAGGGGGATTTTCACAGGTGACAAACCCCTGCCTGTCCCCAGCTGCCCCTCACCACCTCTGTCCACACCATGCCCTCTGAGATACAGGTAGGGTTCACAATTTCCCACCTATTTTGCCAGTGGAAAAGCAGCAGCCTGCCAGGTTTTCCCCAAATGTCCCCCTCTATGTCTGCCCTTCCCTGTGCTGCTCAGAGAGGTGGAGGTGACACTCATGTTTTCTGGAACCCATTTCAAAGGCAGCAGGCTTTGCTCAGAGTGGCAGCAAGGGGTTTGTCATAGACAGGGAAAAGAACTATAAAAGAAAAGCCTCATAAAGTCAGGGTTGATAGCTGGCCTGTCATTTCTTCTAAGTGCAGCTAATACTTTGCAACTTCCCATGTGAAAACAATCTTGGTATGAATAGTTTGCTAACATAACAACCTATTCTTGGGTGAAAAATAAATTCACCTGCATAAACATTAGACCTGTTTCATGAGAATCCACAAAAGAAAAATGTAAACACCTGAACCTCAGCATGCACACACAAATCACCTTCTGACCAATAAATGGAGTAGTAAGAAAACTACCAGCCAATAGATGTTTCACATGAGCTCTGTGAAAACTGTATAAAACAAATAATGTGAATAAAGATTTGGCTTTTCCCACATGAAGAAAATGGAGCCTTGCCTGATTCATTCTGCCAGGGGTTGTGGCAGCTTTCTGTGCCTGCTGGCTGGCAGGACAGGCAGCCTCTCAGTGGCCTCCTGGGCATGTTCTCAGCTCTGCACCATGCTCTGCTTCCATCAGGAAGGGCCAGACTTGCTCAGCATCTCTCTGGTGCAAAAAAGAGCCAGCAGGTGCAGTGCAGCAAAGAAAGGGTGCTTGAAGTGCCATGGCCATGAATGGCAGCTGGCAGAGCAGTGCTCTCTTAGCAGCATTACTCTCCAAGTGCAAATAAGCCTTGTGTTTCTTACACCAGCACTGTCTGTCTGGGAGCATGCTCAGGAGCATTTATAGCAGTGTTTCTATTTGATATCTCTCTATCAAACACCAAAGGCAGTCTCTCCTTTCAAATCCACTCAGAAAATAGCCACTAAATACACAGCATGTTTACACCATGGGTTACACGTTTATGAACCAGCACTCACACAGCAATGCACACACAGAGAAGAGCAGCTCTGGCTGAAGGACAAAGCCCCAAAGTCCCAATGAACACAAGCAGTGCCACAAGAGCCTGCTGGCCTTTACCTGTGCTGGGTGAGGAGGAGGAGGAGGCCAGCAGCCAGCCCCGCAGCAGAGCCACGAGCAGGGGCAGCCTCCAGGGAGCCATCAGGGCTCAGGCTGGCGCTGGGCAGAGGAGCAGTCCTGCAGAGGCTCTCGGGGGCTGTGGAGACACAGCAGAGGTCAAAGGCTTCAGCACTACCCTGTATTCCCTCTGCAGGGCTGACAATCAGCCTGGCTTTATTTGTTTACCAAGGCTGATTAATTATTCCCCAGAGGAATTCTCTTTGCAACTTTTGGTGATGGCCAAACGTGGCTTCGTTTGAAATAGTTTCTGGCCAGCTAAGCACACTGTGCAGAAGTGTGTCAGTGCTTCTTCATTCACCAGCCCTCTGTCTCATGCCTTCTGTGGAAAGTGATTCAACTCCCTGCCCTGGGAAGTGCCTTGGACAGTGATACTCTCATTTAAAAAAAATGAAAATAAAATGCCTGAGCCTTGCCTTATGTAGACACATGTTATGCAATCATCCCCACCTTTTGCCTTTGCTGTTTCAAGACATGGTAGGAATGGTAGGAATGCTTGGGAGAATTCTTCTTAGTTGTCATGGCAATATTTGAAGGGGACAAATTTCTATTCCTGTGCAAGTCTGCTGGAGGGAAGATGGGGACTGAGAGGGAAAGGAGCAGAGTTTGCAGGGAGGGGGCTACTCCTTCCTTCAGATTTCATGCTAAAGGTGGGTAGAAATTACTGCCTACAGACTGGGTGCTCAGCATGCTTCCCTGTGCCAGAAAGCACATGGGTTCTGACAGGGCTTTAATTTTTTCATATAGATACAGGTGGAGGTATAGATTAGATAGAGATGGAGGACGAGAGAGAGATCTAGATTAGATATAGATACAGATCTAGGTATATAAATGGTATATATTTAATCTTCCTGGAACCTTGAGACCACTGCTTGAGCTCCACTTGAGTAAGAACTTGGCAGCCTCAGTGTGAGCGTGCAATTCATCACTGAGATCTGTTCAGAAAACAAACTCACTTTATATTGCCCACACAAGCCTGGCTTAAGCAGGTGAAATCCCAGGTCAGGCTCTGGCACAGCTGCTTCTTCCTCAGCAGCCACAGCTACCATGCAGCAATGGGAAACTTGGGCTCTGCTGAACAACAGAACTTCAGGTCAGAGGGATATTTGGAAATCTGAGGACTGGAGCCAATACAAACCCCCCATCATTGAAAGAAGTGGCTCAGGAGAGCCAGAGGAGGAGACAGGTTGTGCTGGCCAGGGTATCTGTAAATGTTTAAAATTAACCAGAAATTCAAGCTGGCAAAACATAACAGCAACTAAAAACACACAACAATTTTAACAGCAAATGTTCAATTTAAATTAATAGCAAATCCCCCCAGTCTGTCACATAATTGTAACTATTATATCACATAAATCCATCGCATAAATATAGTTATTACATAACTATTATTATTATTATTATTATTATTATTATTATTATAGCAATAGCAGCAACTTTTCTGTTTCACTGTGAAGCGAGAATGTGTAGGCAGAAGAAATCATAGGAATTACTTCTTTAACCTATGAAACACAGGATAAAACCAGTGTCAGTACAAACCTGTAGGCAGTGGCTCTGTGTTTCAGAGAGCTCTGGGGGTGCAGGGACAAAGGAGAGCTGCCCTGCAGAGCTGGGGGAAGCAGCAGCAGCATCCAAGGACTGTGTGTGCATGCTAGCACAGAAAGCTTCTCTTCACTTCCAGTATTTGACTATCTTCATATGATTTCAGAAGGCAAGTAAAAATAAACAAATGCTTTCACAGGGAAGTTTAAAATCATCAGAGTGCTCTTACCTTGACCTCTAAGTGCGTGGGAGCCTATCTATCTCTGGAGTGTGGGGCTCCTCAGCAGCTCCATGGCTCAAAGCTCTGCATTTCGCAGAAGTCCTGTGGTTTTTAAAGACTCCTCTCTGAGCTCCCCAGGGATCAGATGTTGCATTGCAATGTGATGGCTTTGGCCACACGGTCAGAGGCTTTGCTAAGCATCAAAGGGAGCATTGCTGGCTTTTATGAGGTGCTGGTGCTAATTGTTGTTCTTATGTGCTCAAGTGGGCCAAAGGTATGTTTGAAATATTGAAGTGATTCACGAAGATGAAAACCAAATGTCAGAATCAGCGCGGGCTGTCTGCTGGCGCCGGTGACACGCAGCTGTCCCCAGCAGATGGCAGCCACAGCCCCTGGCTCCCTGCAGACCCTCACATTGCCCTGACCCCTGTGGTTCCCCGGGACCACCCCAGTGTGACCCACCGCAGAGCATTCCCATCTCCCTGGCTCTGGAGCCAGCCCAGCCTCTCCTGGCTCCGGGGGCTCTGCAGGGAATACCGTGAATTATCTGAATCATCCCCTCCTCGCCCTCTGCTGTGGCCAGCATTCAGCCCTGACTTTGTACAATGGCTGTCTCCATTCCCTTCCCTGCAGCCCCTGGAGGGCTCTGCAGGGAGCAGGTGCTGCCCCCACACCTGCTTTAGCCCAGGTGAGACATCCATTGCCAAATACACCTTGCTGGAAAAGCATCTGATGGCTCTGCTGATCTGCCCAGGAGCATTCAAGGTCATGGCCAGTCTCACATGAGTCAGCCAGGCCGTGGTGCCTCCTGTGAGCTGCAGGGGTGGGAGTGCAGGGGGTGCCCTCCGGGAGGGACAATGGGGATGTTTTGGGAGGAGCAGAGCTGTGCCCTGCGTGCCCTGACAGGCAGTGGGCTGTGGCTCAGGCTGACTCTTCCCATGGCCGAGTTTGGGCATGTTGGGAAAGAGTTCAGGCATACAAAGAGCATGAGAGATGGCATCAGGAGCTGAAGGAATGCTTCTTGTTAGGAAGAAAAGTGTCCTCCAAGCACCTGTCCAGGACTTAGGGTATTGCTGTTTGATGAGAGGCTGAAGGATGTGCTGTCACTTCCCAGTTGCTGTCAGTGGGAATGTTTTGGAGCTGCAGGGGTAGGATCAGGCTCCTTTCCAGCTGCCAGGTGTCCTCTGCATTTCTCTGTGTGCATAGACATGCAGAAATGTCTTGTGCTAACACTGTCACCTTGAGAGCCCTGTGAATTCTGGGGGTGAGAGGATTATGGGTGACTTGTCCCTTCACTGAAATTGCGCACTGCTGGATTTCCTTCTTACTTCCTGCAAAGCATGGGGAAAAAGTCCCTTACTGCTGGTAAATGTATGGCCCTGCTGTCAGAGTTATGCAAGATTAGAATTTAGCATTCATGTATTCCTGTTGTGTAAGCTATTTAAAAAAGAAAAGGTCACACTGGACAAATTGTTTGAAACAAATAAGAAACATTTGCCAGTAGAGTGAATGCCAGTTCTCAAATGCTAGAACTGGGTCAATTCCTGAGAAAATTGGGTTGGAAAAAATGCACAGTTGGGATTTGCAACAATAGAGCTCCACCACCCATCCAGCAGCACTGGAGCACCTGGGAAGGGGCAGAGGGTGCAGGTCTGTGCTGAGCAGAGCCTGCTGGGCCAGCTGCTCTGGCCATGTCCTGCCCAAAACAGCGCCTGGGTGAGCTGCAGGTGCTTCTCCCTTCCTCTCCCTGTGCCATTCTCTTCTTCCTTCCTCTCCCTGTGCCATTCTCTTCTTCCTTCCTCTCCCTGTGCCATTCTCTTCTCCCTTCCTCTCCTTGTGTCATTCTCTTCTTCGTTCCTCTCCCTGTGCCATTCTCTTTTCCCTTCCTCTCCCTGTGCCATTCTCTTCTTCCTTCCTCTCCCTGTGCCATTCTCTTCTCCCTTCCTCTCCCTGCTCTGTCCCTGCTGCGCCTGCTCTGTCCCTCCCTGGCAGGGCTGGTGCAGCCAGGCTGCTCCCGCGGGGGCTCAGCTGAGGCTCATGGAGAGGATCCGTGGCCATTCCAGCAGAGCTGGGGAGGCCCTGCCATGGCTGGGAGAGCCATCAGGGCACAGCTCAGCCCCTGGCTGGCTCCAGCCTTGCTGACAAGCTCTGAGCACTGTCCCAGCACTGAGGGACAGGCAGGGACAAATCCCTGCCTGGGCTGCACCAGAGCCTCAGGGCCCCAAGGTCAGGGCAGGGACAGGCAGAGGATTTGAGTCTTATTAACTGTTGTGTAAAAGGGATAAAGCTGCAAAAAAAATTATTAAAAAAAAAATCCATCACAAGGTGATGACAAGATCATGGAAAAAGACGTAAATGAAAGCAGAGCAGCTCTGGCTCACCAGCAAGCCCTGCCAAAGCTCTGTGCAATGAGCTGAGCCTGTGGCATCACTGCAGGCTGGGCTCAGCCCTCCCTGTGTCCCCTGGTGTCAGCAGCAAAGCCCAGGGGCTGTGTCCCCTTTGCTTGTCTGCCTCCCGTGCTGCAAGCATCTGGAAGTTGACTCGCTTGCTTTGCTCATGAATGAGTTTTTAGGATTTGTCAGCGGGGTGACAGACTCCTGGAGTCATTGTGTGCTCAGGAACACCTCAGCTTCCTCCTCTCCCACAGCCTGGCCAGCTCCCAGAGCCCCACAGCTGCTCTCGGGGGACAAGAGTAATAAAAACACTAAAGCTGAGGGAATGCAAGCTTGCAAAGGTGCCACCAGGCTGAAAAAGAGATTTCAAAGAGCCAAGAGTGCTCTAAGCTGGGCTCTTGGACTATGACAGATATGCAGCTGCATGAAGAAATTAAAAAGCCCTTCTGTAAAAATCTGCTTCTGTTTGAGGAAATAAAGGAACAGCAGCATCATTGCTGAAATACTTCATTGCAAATGGCAAAGCAGTTGGCAGAGGTCATTAATGAAGCTAAATATAAAAAATGGGCCAAATCCTTTTTGGTTGAAATATATTTGATATATTCATCCCATTTGTGCTAAATTGGTTCTGTCAAGCAATCCATTGTAAACCTAGGTTAAAATATTGGGATGCCATAGCTCAAAATAAAAGCTTTCAACTTTGCAACTTCCATGTTTAGAAGCAGCTTCCTAATCACCAAAATAAAAACCAGAAAGGCTCCAGCTATGAACAGACCATTTGGTAGAAAAGAGCAAGTTTCATTTGATCCAGAAGGATAGTTTTGAAATTGCCAGGGGCATGGAAAATGGGTGATTTATAAAAGCCTCATAACTGCCTGGTGTTTCAGGGAAATCAGTCTCTTTTACAGAACTTGCATTAAACAAAGTCTTTCCAAGGTGCCAGGATGAAGGACTCAGTAATTCCAGGCAGACCTGTGGCCTCCAGTGCAGGGTGATGGATTGCACTGCAGAGGGGATGTCACCACAAGGACAAGGGCTGGGAAAGGGAGCACGGGGCACTGAGTGTTGCAAGGAACAAAATCCCTTCTTTACATTCATAAATTAAATACTTATGGCTGTTAGAGGATTTCAGGAAATGATGGAAGGAACCCAGGCTCTCTAGCAATGTCCAGTGTCAATATTTATTTTTCTGGTGAGTGAAGACCTCGGTTTTCCATATTTCTTTGCTGATGGCTGCTATCCTGGCTTGGATGGCATCTTGGGAAGGACAGCAGCTGTTGGAATGTGCCTGTGTCATGTGAGCCAGCCAGACTGGAGCTGGCTCCACTGAAATCTCTGCTTTCTGTGATCAGTGCTGCTCCCAGAGAGACCCATCCAGCCCAAAGTCAAACATCTCACACTCCCTCTGCCTTTCAGATGAGTCTGTGGCAGCCTCTCCACTGCCTGTGAGGCAGCCCTTGCTCAAACCCACCAGCAGTTTCCTGCAATTCCTGATGAAATGGTTTCTGTGTGCTGTCTCTGCTGCCTGGGGAGCACACCCTGACTGAAGCATCCCCAACCTGCTGGCTCCTGTCTCCACTCTGAGTCAGCTCCTGCTCCTGGAGCCGTTCCTTCCACAGCCTGCACGTACCTTTGCCCACACAAGGACTGCCTCTGCCTCTGCCTCTGCTGCAGCTGGGCTTGGGTTTAGCAGAATAATCGAGTTCTTCTCATGGCACAGGGCCAGGCTGGCTCAGGAACTCGGTGACTCTGCCCTGGAGCAGCAGTGCACGTAAAGCTTCTGTAGGAAAGAGCTGCAAAGCAGCTGAGGAGTTAGTGCTGACCCAAGAGCAGTGCCTGGGAGTCAGCCTGCAGGGAAAACAGGGCTCCAGGGGCTGGGGTGAGCAGGGCAGGCTGGGGAGAGGCTGGAAGGGGAAGGGGAGCACAGCCTGGAATGCCAGGGACCAAATTCTGACACTAAATGCACCAGGGCATTACAGAAACAACTGCAGACAAAGCTGGCAGAGCAACAACTGCAACAGGCTGTGAGTATATCCAGAGGGAGATGTAAAAGGTAAAAATTCTCTCCAGAACAGAAAGACTCTGCCACAGAAGCATTAGGGGGGACAAAGAGCCACTGTACCTATTTGTGCAGGCAGCTGCTCCTGGCTGCTCCCAGCACCCTCAGCACTGGGTGCAGTGGGTCCTGCCAGGCTCTGCCAGGGATTTGGGGCTCACAGGGAAGATTTGTGTATCCCTGTTCTAAGAAAGGTGCATTTCCCTGTTGCTCCTGCTCCCCACTGCCTGCAGACTGGGATCTCTGCTGCCCAGAGTCATTGCCAGTTGCTGACCCCATGCAGAAGCCCAAGGCTGCTCCAGGATCACTCTCTGCTCTTCAGGCCAGAGCAGGCAGAAAGAACACCCTGTATCCAACAGACTGAGCCCTGCTGGAGCACAGAAAATTGAGACACCCAAAGATAAATGCTGTCACCCACAGCATCTCCCCTGGCTGTCCTGCAGGGTGGGCAGGAGCCTCCTGGGCCCCAGGCTCTGTGCAGGTGTTCATTCAGAGTGAGACAACACCCTCCTCTTTCTTCCTCCCACCAAGTGCCCCAGCCTGTGAGGGGGCAGGTGAGCACAACTGTTCCTTACCTGGCCCAGAGGCTGCCTTAGGAAAGATCAAATTCTTCCCACCACATGGCTGTGAGCCTGGCTTGAAGGCAGAGTTTATCTGGAATGTCCTAAATCTTGCTGCAATCCTGAACCCTTTCCAGAGTTACAGGAGAGGGCAGAGCAAGCTCCCAGGCTGGCTGGATGGTTTTCTGCCACTGAACACCTGAGTGCAGCCCAGAGCCTGCTGCCTTTCCACAGAGCAGTTTTGTCCCCAGAGTGATGTGGGTGATGGCAGCCAGGGGTTCAATCCCTTCCTCAGAGCTAAATCCTGGGAGGGGCTGGCATATCCCACTGGGACCCTCCTGCTCAGCCTTTCTGCTGTGATGAGTGCCCAGGTGCCAGCCCAGCCTCCTTCCTGCTGCCAGGCCGTCACCATCTCCACTGGCACCTGCCCTCCCTTGTACCAATCCTATCCCAGCAGTATTTGCCCCCAAAAGTAATTACAACTGTGGTAAAAGTAATTCAAGGAATGATTCCCAGTGGTAAGCGCTTCCCGTCTGGTTTTCAGGTTGCTCCAGAATTAGACATCCAAAAAACCAGGCTGAGAGTTGTTATTAAGGCAGAAACATTTCACATGAGGTGCTGTTCCAGTAAGTGTGACAGCAGGACAGAGTGACAATGGGGGAGGCAAAGCAGGATCCAGGCAGGCAGGGATCAGCTGCCCCTGGTGGCACAGGCAGCAAAGGGAGCCAATGCTCTGTTCAGGCCATCCTAAAGTGAGAAAAACCTCCTGGTTTCTTCTTCTCTGCCTTGTCTTTTAAAGCTGATTTGTCCTCCACAAGCCTGTAAGCCCTTGGAATAAGGAAAATAAATTTCCCTTTCCTTCTCCTTTAAACTTCATGCACGAGAGAGATTATGGAGGTGTTGGCAGAGGTGTTCTGGTGCAACCACTGTACAATGGGACCAATAAGTGAAAAAACAGATATTCTGGCTTATTCATGCACTAGTTATTTATACAGCTGAACAGCCTGACCTGGGAGCTGGCAATTCCCAATCTCTTCATTTTTGCTTCCTGCCATTGTCTCCAGTGGTGCCGTGGGCAGGGCAGGATCTGCCAGGGTGGAACAGCGCCACAGTCACTGCTGGGGCCACAAGCAGGGAAAGAACCTGCACAGGGACACCAGGACAGCCAGGCTGGCTGGGAGAATGGTCAGGCCAGGCAGCCACAGTCCAATCCTGCCTTTGCTGCCGAGGGCAGGGTGTGGGATCCTCCAGAGGGATGGGCACAGGGTCAGTGCCTGGGAGCTGGCACACACAGGGGAAAGGGCAAGCTCCAGGCAGCCTCACAGACTGGTCCTTGAGCCCTGAGCTCAGCCCTGGGCATGTAAAACCACATTTTCCCTGTGGGCAGGTGGTTTTCCTGGAGTCTGAGGGGGCAGCAGTGCTGGGCTGCCCTCCTGTGCCTTCCAGCAATGCAAGCAGCAGCCCGAGCCTTTATTGCTCACATCAACAGCTGCTGGTGTTGAAAGCTGCTTTGTGAAATGTTAGATGTGCAGTTTGGTCTGAGAGTGAGCAAACTGAGGAGAAATTCTTTTGAAAAGAAAAAGGAAAAGACAGTCCAAAAATGCTGAATGGGTTTGCCCTTTTCAGAGGCAGATCTTTGACACCTCCCCCAGGAGAGGAGTGCTAGCCCAGAATAACTGCTTGGCCAGACAGCCCTTGCATGATATCATGA